AGTTCTATTTTTTTTTAAAGATTTTATTTATGAAAGAGAGAGAACACAAGCAGGGGAAGCAGCAAAGGGAGAGGGAGAAGCAGACTTCTGCTGAGCAGGGAGCCTGATGCGGAGATTGATCCCAGGACCCCGAGATCATGACCTGAGCTGAAGGCAGACGCTTAACTGACTGAGCCGCCCAGGTGTCCTGTCACTCTATTCTCTGAACCATGTGTTGGTTGGGTCCCTCACTGGCCAGGGGCAGGAGCTCATTCTGCCAGGCCTTCTAGGGCAAGGGGGCCTAGGAGACAAGGTGAAGTGTCCCAGCTTCTGGGGCCTCTCAGCTCCGTACTGACCTCCATGTTGCAGGTGAAGAACAGACCCTGGGGGTGTGGTGGCTGACTTAGGGACAGTGGCAGGTGTGGCACAACCAGAACTAGGCCCCAGACCTGTGTCTCCTGGGCCCACTCGCCGTGGGCATTTCCTTACTGCCTCTTCGGGGCACCTGCCAGTGTGGTCTGTGAGTTGTGCCCAGCGGGATGGGCCGTTTGATGCCCAGTGTGTTGGGTGGGGCTGTGGTTGTAGAGGCCTGTCACCTTGGTCCCTTCTCTGTTGAGGTCCGTTCTCCCCAGAGCCACTGCCATTGACTTGACTGTCTTTTGGGGGCAGCCTCCTTAACATTCAGGGGAGTGTGAGAGCGAGCCCTGGCACCGTGAGACTCAGATGGCCACACTGGCAACTGGCCCATGCTCTCGGTTATTCTGGAGAAGTACTCAGGACCTGCTCATCTGCCCGCTTCAGGCTTCACTGCTAGTCCTCTGGGTATGAAAGAGGCCCTCGATCCGTGCTATGGTGGGACCGGATTGTGCTGGGTGGGTAGGGCTCTTAGTGAGGCCTCCTTCCCACTCTTCTGGGGGTTGCGGGCACAGAACTTGTGCTGAGATGCTGGGGGCAGCATGCTTCCAGCATAGGGACTGCGCAGCCCGGGGGACTTGGGTACAGTTGCCGCCACCTCTCAGAGAAATGGGCTGAGTTCAGTAAACTCTCCCAGGGCCAGTGGCTACAGTAGAAACCCAAGGTGTTTGCCACCAACCTGGGATTCTCCGCAAGGCAACAGCGGGGGTAGGGTGGGAGAGATGTTTATTTACTTAAATTGTTAAGGTATAATTAATATAACAGCACATACTTAAAGTAATCTGATGAATTTGACATCTGTACACTCCTGGCAAACCATCACCCTAGTCAAGGTAACGACTGTGTCCCTCACGTGAGGAGCTCTCTTCTACCTCTGGAGAAGCCCTGGCAGCCACTTACCTATATTCTGTCATTAGAGATCAGTTTGCATTTTCTAGAATTTTATAGAAATGGAACCACACAGGATGTGCTTTTTTTTTGGCCAGCCTCTTTCCTTCAGCACGGTCACTTTGAGATTCATCCACGCTGTTGCATGGAGGGGTGGCCCGTTTCTTTTTATTGCTGCATATATTCCACCGTGTGGGTGGACCGCAGTCTGTCTATCCGTTCCTGTGTGGACAGGCATTTCCGTCATCGTCAGTTTGGGGCTGTGACGAGGAACACCCCCATGAACATTCGTCGACAAGGCTTTGTGGGGACACTTGCTTTTCTCGGTTGTAAGGGCAAGTACCAGGAGGGCAGTGCCGGCTAATGTGGTAGACCTGTTGGCTTAACTGTTTAAGAAACTGCTGACCTTGGGGAGCCTGGTGGCTCAGTCGGTTCAGCACCCGACTCTTCATTTCGGCTTAGGTCATGATCTCAGGGTCGTGAGATTGATCCCCACCTTGGGCTCTGTGCCAGGGGTGGAGTCTGCTTGAGATTCCCTCTCTCCCTCTCCGTCTGCCCCTCCCTGCATGTGTTCTCCCTCTCTCTGAAATAAATAAATCTGAGGAAACTGCTGACCACTTTCCCAAAGTGGGGTGCCACTGCATTTTTTTTTTTTTTTAAGATTTTATTTATTTGTTTGACAGAGAGAGACACAGCGAGAGAGGGAACACAAGCAGGGGGAGCGGGAGAGGGAGAAACAGGCTTCCCGAGAAGCAGGGAGCCTGATGCGGGGCTCGATCCCAGGGCCCTGGGATGATGACCTGAGCCGAAGGCAGACCCTTAAGGACTGAGCCGCCCAGGCGCCCCGCCACTGCATCTCTGACAGCAGAGTGCGGGACTCCCGCTGCACTCCAAATCCTCACCGACACTTGCTATGGTCAGTCTTCTAAATTTTACCCGTTCTGAGGTGTGTAGCAGGATCTCCTTGTGATTTTAATTTGTATTCTCCTAATGTCTAATGATGTCAAGCATCTCTTCATGTACGAATTTTACACCCACAGATCTTGTTTGGTGAAGTGTTTGTAAAAAAGCGTTTTGCTCCTGAAAAAAATTGGGTCATTTGTTTTGTCACCATGAAGCTTTGAGAGTTCTTTCTGTGGTCTGGACATGAGTCTCCGTCCTTTCCGCCTCTGCTGGCCCCAGGGCGGGAGCTTCTGTGGGAGGACAGTGGCCTCTGACTCTGGGAAAAGACCACTGGGGGTTCTCACCAGTTCTCCATTCCGAGTGCCTTCTGATCGGTTAGGCTGATTGACCTTTGAGTTTGGAGTTGTGTCTCTCTCACATCCTGCCTTTCTCCTGGGCTCTGGTCTGTGGCAGCTCTTGACCTTCTCCAGCTTCCAAATGCCTTGAAAACTGAAGAAAACGGCAGCCCACAGATGTCTCAGAGAAATGCAACCTTGCTCGCGCGTAGGGTCCCTGGAGCTAGTTGACTGCTTAGTATCAGAAGCTCTGAAGCCGCCGCCTTGTCCAATGCGCATGGTTTTCTTTGGGCTCAGTTCTGCGAGCTCTCTCCTGGGCCTGAGTGTTTGGGGGTCTTGCCGAGGCCGGGGGTTCTGGAGGTGGAGGGGCGGGCCTGTTTCCCCCCAGCAGTCTGCAGCCAGGTGCTGTGGTGACTGCTTTATTGTGCTGTAACTTGCATCCCGTGTGTGCACTTGGTCTTGAGTGCAGGTCTGTGTTTTCTGGTGTATTCACAAGCTGGGGCAACGTCACTGTGATTTAAGCCCAGAACATTTTCTTCATCCCTGAAAGAAGCGCTGTGCTCTTTAGCTGTCTCTCCCCATTCGCCTCCTCCAGGCCATGGCTCCGCCAGTCAGTCCACTTTCTGTCTATGGACTGGTCTGCTCTGGACATTGCGTGTCAGCGGAACCGTGCCCTTTGTGATGGCTGCTGGTTCAGCATCGTGTTTCCAGGATTCTTCCTCATGGGGGTGTGCATCAGGACCCGATTCCCTTTTATAGTCAAATCCTATCCCGTCGTGTGCATGGATGGCATTTTATTTGTCCGTCCCTGCATGATGGACTCCGGGGCTGTTCCCGCCTCTTTTGGCAATTAGGGTCATGTTGCTGGGAACCTTTCCGGACATCTAGTTTTCTCATTTAAAGTGGTTCTTGGGGGGCACCTGGGTGGTTCAATTGGGTGAGTGTCTGCCTTCGACTCGGGTCATGATCTCCAGGTCCTGGGATTGAGCCCTGCATTGGGCTCCCTGCTCAGTGGGAAGCCTGCTTCTCCCTCTCCCTCTGTGCTCTCTCTTGTGCTCACTCTCTAACAAATAAATATATTAAAAAAATGGTTCTTGGTTAATTAATTAATTAATTAATTTTTTATTTTTTTAAGATTTTATTTATTTATTTGACAGAGACACTGCAAGAGAGGGAACACAAGCACAGGGAGTGGGGGAGGGAGAAGCAGGCTTCTGCTGAGTAGGGAGCCCAACGCGGGGCTCGGTCCCAGGACCCTGGGACCATGACCTGAGCTGAAGGCAGACACGTAACGACTGAGCCACCCAGGCGCCCCTACTTATTTATTTTTTAGCAAATACTTTATCTTTGAGAATCTTTACAGCTTCCATTTCCATTCCGTTATTACAAGAGATGAAAAACAAAAAATTTCAAGTAGCATGCAAAGTATAAATACAGCTTTCCCACTTTACTAACCAAATTCTTACTTTCCAGTGTTACTTCCCAATTTATGCAGGAAACTGCCTGCAAAGCTGAAACTGATTAGAAAATTCTTTATGGTTTAAAATATCTTTCTCATTTTAGGAGAAACCAAATACCCAACCATCAAAATTAAAAATAAACTGAATTGTCACAGTCCATTACTCTTATTGTTACTAGATCCACTTCATTTGAGGTGTCCAAAATAGAAAACGAATAATTCTTTATCTTCAAATTCATTTGTTCTTAAAATGCTACTTAAAACTTTGGTGGTTTTCTGGTTTTTGAAGTACAATGGGATGATCAGGCAGAAAGTCTGTTTTTTTCCTGCAGATGTAAACACTTGAGAGCTTCAACAGGAAATCTCTGCTGTATTTAATTCTCTTTTTAACTGGAGACTGATGTTGCTGTTGTTCATTATGACCTTGAGAAAAGGCTTGCATTCCTTTCGTCTTGCATCTGCTAACTCCACTTGGTAAGCACTGGGTGTTGCATGAATATTCATTTTGAAAGTTGAAAGGGAATACTGCTCCAGGGGGAGAAGTCTGATGATGAACAGGTTGTGCTGGTTGAAGCGGATTACCAGTCAATTTTTTGGTTTCCATTATCACAAAGACCTTGAGGTTCCATACGCCTCAAGATCAGGGAGGATTTCGGGGCAGCAGTGCTCAGCCCACACGCGGCGACCCAGTGCCCCGCTGCCCGTAGGGGAACGGCTGCTCGAGGCCAGGGGCGGCGGGGGTGGCCGGTTCTTGGTTAATTTAGAATATGAGGAACCACCTCCTGGTTATTTCGCTTGTACTTACTTAACTCAGAAGGCTGGCTGGCAAGGGACAAGTCCTCTCTGTGGGAGGGAAGTGGCGTGGCTGTGAGGCCTGTGGAAGTGAGGCACCGTCCTCGCTGCTTTGATAGAGCTGTGGGTGGACTTGTAGGTATTTCCCTTGGTTGTGTCACTTCCTGCAGATTTCCCTCATTGCATTTCCTTGTTGGGTTGGTTGTTTTTGGTTTTTTTTTTTTTAAGTCTCAGTTCTCCTGGTTTAGGGTGTGTGCCTGTACCCAGGTGTTAAGTAATTGAGCCTGCCTGTCATTCAGTGGATCATTCCAAATCTGAAAGATGTCTTCCCTCTAAGGGCGAAAATAGGGAGAGAACTCCATTTGGGTCTGAACTCTGCGGTGTGTCTCAAAGCTGTCCTGTAGATGGCGTTTTCTCAGTCCCAGGTTTGGGTTTACTTTGCCACCCATTGCAGCATCCCCGCCGGGCGCTGGCTGACTTCTCCATGAGAGATTGCTCACTCGGGTTGCAGCCGCTTTCAGGATTCCCCGCGTGCCCCGTGAGGACTGTTTCTCTCTAAGCCAGGCTTGGAGCATTTTAATGATCTTCCCATAATTGAGAAGGAACGTGGCAGGGCAAGTTGTGCCCGCTTCTCGTCTGTGAGTCATCACCCCATCACCCGGGGGGTGTTTTGCCAGGAAGGACGGTAGGTCTTTGCCAGCGTTCGGGAGGCTGCGTCTCCCCTGGCCCAGCACCCTCCGGGGACACCACCTCGAAGTTGCCGAATGCCCTGTCCTCCAGGTCTGTGTGATGCGGGCCCGGGGCCACCCTCCTTGCCTCTGCGGGCCTGCTTTCCTCACAGGTAGAAGCTGGGGCTTGAAGTGAGTAATTTCCAGCATCTTTTTCGACTCCAATTTCCTGTGATTTTAACGGATCTGAAAAGGTCATGGGCATGCAGTGTTGGGAGTGGCGGGTGGCCGTGTGCCCAGCACCCCCAAGGTTGAGACCAACGGGGAAGGAGAAGCCAGCGTTGCTTAGGGAGGCAGTGATGCCTGCATGAAGGAACGGGGCCGAGTCCAAAGGGCACAGCATCCGGGCTGAGGGCCCCCCTCCGGGTCCCATCTGGCCAGGGCTCGGGAAGGGATGAACAGAGACCATGCTTGTGCTTCGGCGGGGCGCGTCCCTGGAAGTGTTGAGAAGGGGAGCTGACGAGGCCTGTCTTAGGGGGAAGGCCAAGCTGTAAGACAACTGTGGGATGGCTGGGGGTGGGAGGGCCTGGAGGGGGCCCTGGTTGTGGTTGCGGGGTGCCGGGACACACGGCTCTGGGATGCCCCGTGGCTAGAACGGACGCTCACGGCCTTGGGGGCCTTTTCTCTGACCTGCAGGTGATAGATGGGCTTGGCCGTGCCCAGCACACGGCCCACTGTGGTGGTCTGGATCCTGAGTGGCCTGTGGGGGCAGCTCTCTTGGCCTTTTCCAGGGGAGGGGAGTGGGGCCAGGCTTCTCTGGGCAGGGAAGGCAGGGGGAGGGGCAGGCCGCTGACCAGGTGTACACGGGGCCTGAGCACCCAGCTGACTGGCGGGGACCTAGGGTGGGTGGGGGGGGGGGCCTCCGTCCATTCTGTGTCTCCCAGGCACTGGTTCGCTCTTTGCTTTGACACCTGTCCACGGCGCTTTGCTTTGTGTCCTGCGTGGTGCCCGGTCCTAGGGACATAGCAGTGAGCAGGATGGCCCTAGGCCCTGCCCTACAGGAATAGTCCTCGGGTCTGCCTGCAAATGGGGTCCCTTCTACTCAGGATGAAGCACTGTCACGGACAGCTGAGGAGTTGAAGGAGGTCTGCCATCCTGCCAGGGCCCCCATCGGGCTGTGTGGGTGGGGGAAGGCTTTGGGGAAGGTTTTCCGCCCAGACTCTGCCCTGACTCCCCTTTCTCCAGGTAGACATTTCGGGTGTGGTCGGTGGGCCCTTCAGAACCCCCTCCCCTGCCCAGCTTCCGGGTGCTAAGCTGAGGACAGCCTTGGCCCTTCCTGCCCCGGCTGGCCTCCCTATGGAACCTGTGGCTGTGGTGCTGGTCAGTCTGGAATTTTGCTTCTGTCTTCTTTCACATAAAGGTGGGAGGACTTGGGACAATGGTAGTTGAGCCTTTAGGAGCACTTGGGCCATATTTTAGGGAGGACGCCAGGAGCTGGGAGCATGCTGGGCCTTTGGTGAGTGAGAGTGGCCACAGGCTGAGTTTGCCTGAACCTCACTGGTGCTCTGGCCTGTTGGTCTCTTGAGCACACTACCAGAGTTGCCCCACAGGCGAGGTGGACCAGTGCCCAGGAGCCAAGCCAGGTCGACAATTTTCAGGAAGAGTGCCCTCACACGGTTTGCAGGAAGGTTCATTCATTCATTGTAGCCATCACGGCGGCCCTGCATGGGGGTGGCACTGGGCGTGGGGACAGTAATTATGCATCCAGGCTCCTCTCCTGGGGCTGCCACCGTCACACCTGCTCCCCGGCCACTCTGATGGCTTTGCCTTCTTTCTTCCCAACACCCAGCGGGAGAGGAGAAGGGCAGGCCCTCCCTCGGAGACAGAAGGTCTCCTCTGGCCTCCTGGGCCCTAGAGGGGAGGAGACAGGTCTGTGTGGTGGCCACGGCGGCCACACAGGAGAGCAGGGGCTGGTGGAGCTGGCTGCTTCCCCTGCCCACTTCCCTTCCAGTGGCTAACCTGGCCCCCAGGGCTCTGGGAAGTAGCCTTGGGACAGGTGTCGGATGCCAACCCCTCTGGGCAGGATGTTGGCTCTGCCCCTGATGTGACCCCTTGTTGTGCCTCTTATGCTGGCCTGAGACCCTCCTCCCCTGTCTGTGTCTCAGGAAGCTCAGAAGGCTGCCGGTGGAAGGCTGGCAGTGGCTCCGGGCCTGGGGCCCAGCCTTTCCTGAGACCCTGGACAAAGTCTGGGTGGGCGTTTGCCCCATCTCTTCGCCCCCCAGAGGCTTCTCAGAGATGGCACCCGTCTGCGTGACTTCTTGATCTCGCGGCACAGCAGCGGAAGGGCTCAGAGATGTGCTGCTTCTCCACTGTCATTATTTACAAAGCGAGGTTTCTATGACAACCAGCTTTTGGTAGACTCCTCAGATTGGTGAGGCAGCCTCTTCCTGGTTAGACTGGGTAGCCTGGCTTGGCGGGGACTTGGGACGGTGCTTTTGGAGGGGGAGGGTGGGTGGCTTGGCTGCCACTAACCCCCTTGCTTCTCGGGACGCAGGACGAAGCAACGGGCATGGCTTCCCAGTTGAGCAGGTACCACCAGTCTCGTGCCACCTCCTTCTCTTGTGGGGGCCACTGTCACAGATCGTCTGTCTGGGGGCACTTTGACGGGGTCAGGTGGGAGAGGGGATGCGGCCCCTGTGTCCAGTGGGTGGGCTGGCCGGCTTCACGGGGCCAAGGACAACTGCCTGCTCCAGTTCTTGCTGTCTGCAGATGTTAGGTGGGCCTGCAGCTGGGACTGGAAGTCCAGCCCCTGCGTGACCGGCCCCAGGCTCCTGGCAGGGTCACACCCTGAGTGCCCGGAAGAGGCCAGCCGTGAGGCTCAGCACTCTCCCTCCCGGCTGGAGGCCTTGGGATGGCGGCAGCTGCTTCTCTTGGCAGCCTTGCTGCTCCCGGTGCTTCCCTTTCTCTTGCCAGCCGGGTTCTGTGGTTGTGCGGGGCACCGCTCTGCTTCCTGCCTGCTCAGCCGCCCCTGCTCTGGGTTCTTGGGATCCGTGGGTGCTGGTCAGCCGGCTGCACCTGGAGCCTTCTCCCGGTTCATTCCCCTGTCCCGGCCAAAGTGTGAGCTGGGCATTCAGGTGTGATTGGCGCCTCCCACTCCTGCTCTGGGGCCTGGACGAGCCCCAGGGACTTTTTCCTGGCCCAGCCATTTCTCCATCCCTGCCTCTTCTAGGGGCTGTGGTAGGGGCTCTGGGGTTGAAGGAACTTTGCCGGAACCTTCGTAGGCAGCAAGTTGGAGAGGATAAGCAGTGTCACTGGGGCTTCTGATTGGAAGGGTCCCCCGTAGAAAGAAGAGATGTTCACATGTGCTTGCTGGGGACTGGCCCCATCCCCCATCCCACATGGTCCCAGCATGTGCCCACCCCCCGGTCAGCCCCGCAGCTCCTTTCCCACCAGGAATGGCAACGCCCGCTCTTCCTTGTCTCCCTGCACCGAGCATGAAGGAAGCTACTGCTGTGGGTTAGGTCATGGCAGAAGCTCCCTGGGGTTGTCCCTGCCCAGTACAGCCGTCGCTGCCCAGCAGGGACCGGCCCAGGGGCCTTTGGCACAGTCTGTGAGGTGTCCTCAGCACTGCCCTGCAGGCCCCCGCCTGGACCACAGCAGCAGGCCCGGTGGCTGTGCCTGTATTTGGTGCAGGTGGAAATCCCAAGAGGACTTCATCTGTCCCGGAAATCGGGCTGGGCCTGGTGCTGCCTGCTACCTTCTACCTCAGAGAGCTGTTTTAGCTTCCACTGTTGGATTGAGGACCGCCCCCCCCTCCTGCCGCCCAGTTACCACGGAACTCATGCTGCAGTGTTGTATTTTATTTTATTTTTTTTAAAGATCTTATATATTTGAGAGAGAGAGAGAGAGAGAGAGAGTGAGAACAAGCGGGGGGGGGCAGTAGAGGGAGAAGCAGGCTTCCGCTGAGCAGGAAGCTGTACGCGGGGCTCGATCCAGGACCCCAGGATCATGACCTGAGCCGAAGGTAGACGCCTCACCGACCGAGTCACCCAGGCGGCCCTGCAATGTTGTATTTTAGCAGGGACATTTTGGTGTCGGAGTCAGAGACGCTGGCCCCATGCTGGGGGGCTGCGGGAGGGGTGGGCAGTGGTCAGGCCCCGGTGCCGGGGCCTGGCCTGGGCTGGCCAGGCTCAGGGCGCAGGGGCTGAGTGTCCGGCTCCGGCTGCAGCCACTACCGCAGGTCCTGTGGGGCTCACCTGTCACTCACTGCTGTCTTCTGTGCGTGGGGCACCGCCTCCCTGACTGTGGGTGTCCTGTGGCTGCCATAACCAGTGACGACAAACTGGGTGGCTTAAAACAACAGAAATTTATGTTCTCACAGCCTGGAGGCCACAAGCCCCAAATCCTGACTCCCCCTCTAGGTAGACATTTTGGGTGTGGTCAGTGGGCCCGTCAGAACCCCCTCCTCTGCCCAGCTTCCGGGTGCTAAGCTGAGGACAGCCTTGGCCCTTCCTGCCGGCCTCCTTGTTTGGCGGGGAGACTCCTTTTCCCTCTCCCTCTGCCTCTCCCCCTGCTCCTGCTTTCTATCTCTCTGTCTCTCTCTCTCTCTCTCACAAATAAATAAAATCTAAAAAAAATGAGAGAACAAAATTTGAATGAGGGACCACATGTTCTCCTGGCTGCCCTCACTCCTCAGACACCTGCCTAGAGATGAGCAGGCCAGGGGCGCGGGAGCTCTGGGGAAGCTCTGGGGAAGCGAGCTGGGGAGGCCCCGAGGGAGTGACTGGCGTTTCAGGACAGCCCTGCCCAGCAGCTCCTGAGCAGTGGGGGCCATTTGGGGCCAAGGGGCATGGCGTGAGCTGGGCTCTGGTCGCCCTGCCTCTGCAGTAACTGCAGAGTGCGGGTCAGGATCAGGTCCCCGGGAGGGAGGCTCGGGCCGGCACCCTGTGCCTGAGGGGCCTGCTGGCCTGGGGAATTAGGACGGTATTTGTGCAGGACCCAGGGTGACCAGGAAGGGTGGGGGATGGCAAGCGTCCCAGTGAGCTTTTGTGTCTGACAGCGTGTGGTCTGGAGCTCCTGGCATTTACTCCCAAGTGCCCAGGCTCCTGGGGGCAGCCGGATGTTGATGATGTAGGGTTTCTGGGGACCCTCAAGTGTCGCAGGATGGCTGCAGGCACCATCTCAAAGGCTGTCTGTCTCCTTATCAGTCTCTTCCTCAGTGCCCCGCCGGATGTGGGCACTTCCTGTCTGCCCTTCTGTGCCAGGCCACGCCACGTTGCTGTGGGCCAGCCATGGGGGCACAGCTCCACTTACAGACAGGCACAGTGAGGCCCGAGTGGGGAATGGGGCTCCCCCAGAGGCAGGCTCTGGTGCTTCTAGGGAAGGCCGGACTCAGGTTTCCCCGACGTTCTAGAACCCGGGGCTCTGCTCTCCCTGGCCAGCCCCCTGCTCCCTTGCAGCCCCTGCGGTACCTGTGCCCCGGGAGGACGACCCTCTGGGTAGAAATGACCCTCTGTCCTTCACTAAGTTGAAAACAGATACCAAGGAAAGAGATTGATAACAGCAGTTTTTGTTATTTAAATTGGCTACCTCTTAACTCAGAAATTCAGGCTAATGCTAAGGTGTTTTTTTTTTTTTAAGCCCGAATTTTTTTTAAAATTTTTTTTATTGTTATGTTAATCACCATATATTACATCATTAGTTTTTGATGCAGTGTTCCATGATTCATTGTTTGTTCATAACACCCAGTGC